CCAAGTTTTAAGTGCTGCGCAGAAATGACAGCTTTTGTACCTTGATATGCGCTTTGTAGAAATCTTTCGTGGAGGGGCTCGAGAAGAAACTATCTGTGGTGGAAGTATCAACGTCCACACCCGCCTCTCGAGCCCACTTGCAGTATTGTGACTTTCCACCATAGTCGTCCCAGTTGTTTACAAAAACGAGCAGCAGTCGTATTCCATACTGCTTTGCTTGCTCGATCGCATAGTCCAAGGCCTGGCATCTCAACAGCATGTTTAAAACCACACAACTTTTACAAAAAGCACCAACCTGGAAGACTTTCTCGTCATACTTGCCAGGGGAAAGCTGCAATGCCTCGTAGCCAGCGTCGTTGAAGGCCCAAGTCCTGCACACCGTGAGGCCGAGTCCAGCGGCTTCCTTGAGCATGTCTTGGACATTGATCCTGTTGGCTTCGTCCACAGATCTCGCCATGAGCCAATACGAGTTCCATCCGTTGAAGTAGAATGGTTCTCCGTTGATCGTAAACTGGCATCCGCTTCTCTCCACGAATCCCATTTCCGGAACCTCATCCCCTCCAGCCATGGCTACAATTGTCACCAACAGGAAGACCTCAATGACACTACCCAGCCGCTGTCCTCCTTAAATGCACTTGAGCGGCTGCTGCTTCTTTGCTTCTCAGCGATCTGGCTTGCATGAAAAAGCAAGGAAGCCATGGCTGTAAGGAAGCAACACTCACCTACCAGTTAATCTTCTCAGCGACAAATCGATTGCTAGGAATGCTTACCTTGAAGATCAGTGCAGTGTGCCCTCTCCCCAGTCTCTGGAAGAAGATTAAAAATCATTTAGAAGGGGAAAGAAAGTGCAAAAGCGTGCTTACTTCCAGTGCAAAAGGCTTTTGCTTTCCCCTCGGTCCCACTGGGTTCTCTTGTTAGATTTAGATCCTCTGGAACACGGCTAAACATGTAAACAGTCAAAACTCGCCATTTATGTTTCTATCCGGCCAAACAGAAAAATTCAGTCAAGGTTTCAAAACAAAGAACGAAATGAATCACCCGAGTAAGAGCTCCTCTTGAGACTTAGGAAGGACAAGACCGAGTGACCTGCCCTTTCTACCTCAAGATGGGCGCCTGTCGACATAGGCATCGATGCTCGAGAGCGCACGTAAAGCCTAAACAGAGCTGCACTTTGCTGCTCAACAACATGTATCAATGTCACCCCCGGTCAAGCATGCAGAAACACTGCCATCCCCAAGGAAGAGCTCTAGAGGACTTGGATGCGTTCTACCCACAAGGACGTGTTTAAGGAGGTGAGGACGGCAAGGTCAAGATCTGCAACAACTTCGACGTCCAGTTTCGGAGGAGCAGCTGAACGGGAGGTTTTACTCCGGCGCTCGATCGCGGCCGAGCTCTCCCCCGTGACGGATTTTCGCGAGGCGTCTTGCCGGCAGGAGGAGCAAGGAGGGTGCAGCCGCGGCAGATGCTGCAACTTCTTGCACCTTTATCATCCTAGCAGAGCTCTGATGAGGGAGCTGAAGGTTCTTTCGATTCGAAGAGCCTTAGGACGCAGAGGCGCAGGGTGTCTCCGAGTGCCGTGGAGCATACCCCGTCCGAGTGCTGGAACTACATGAGGGAGTCTGTAATGATTGCGTCTCCGGATGGTTTAATCCTCGTCCGGAAGCTTGACGAGCAAACGTCCAGACTGGTTCGTGATGCATGATCACCGGCCAATGCCCCCTCCGGAGATCGCTCGACTTGATGGAGCCGGCAACTCCCAGTCAACAAAGGACGGCGGCGATGGCGATGGTAGCAGCGTGTGTCAGAGGAATCAACGGAATGAGATGTCCTCCAATCAATTTGCGTTGTGCCTGCAGCCACCCATCCATTGCCTCGTATCTTTTTCTAGTTCAACTGGTTGTGCGAAAGTCAAATTCACGCTCCCTCATCAGAGCTTTGCTAGGATGATAAAGGTGCAAGAAGTTGCAGCATCCACCCCGGCTGCACCCCTGCCGGCAAGATGCCTCGCGAAAATCTGTCACGGGGGAGAACTAGGCCGCGATCGTCGCCCGGAGTAAAATCTCCCGTTCAGCGCCGCCATAGCTGCAACCGTATGCCAAAACTGGACGTAAACATTCCCAGCCAGATGGTTGCCGAAGTTGTTGGAGATCTTGAGTGCGTCCACCTTGCTGTGCTTGCTCACCTCCTTAAACACGTCCTTGTAGGTAGAACGCATCCAAGTCCTTCTGGAGCTCTTCCTTGGGGATGGCAGTGTTTCTGTATGCCTGACCGGGGTTGATCTCTGGGCTTTGATACAAATTGTTGAGCAGCAAAGTGCAGCTCTGCTTAGGTGCTCTCGAGCATCGGTCCCATGTCAACAGGCACCCATCTTCAAGTAGAAAGGGCAGTTACTCGGTCTTGTCCCTTCGGCATTTGTCCGGGCACTGGCACCCGAGCTCTCCTGTGGATTTTCCATTGTTTCTAAGGTGCCGCAGGCTGGCCTTGTCCAACGTCAAATGGCTATGGCCATGGGAAAGCAAGTTCAGCCACGGCTTCTCAAATTCCTAAAGGATGCAAGTTCCCAACAGCCCCTCGGCATCTACAATTTATAGGAAAAAATTGAATTAAATCAAGTTCAGTAATAGAAAGGCATATAAATTCTAATAGAAAATGAAGTGGATAATTTCAAATTCTACTTTTAAAATGTCCGTGTGGACTACCACCTCCAGAACAGGAGATAATAATTCATGTTGGTGGTGGAGTGGATTCTAATCTGGTGGAAAGCCAGCATCAAAATTGATCTCATCCAGAAGAATGGGTCGATGGAGTGGAGGTTGGCAGGATTTCTCATCTATTGGTGCTACCGTTTTCTTTGGTGACAAGGAAGAGTTTCTAGTCCAGAAGGATGGGAATTACATTTCTCTCTAGCAACTGCTTTCATGAGCCTATCCATGATCAAGAGTTCTTGGTGCGTAAGGCAGGAGGATCCATGTCTTCAAGATTGCAAATGCATCCATGTTAGCCTTGTGAAATCTAAATTCAAGAGAGTTTTTAATGTGCCCTAGTTTTTTTAGTTATAATAGGGATATAAAATGGCTCACCTATTAAAGTTAAGCCTTTATATTTTGTGTTGTATATTTCAGGAGTATATAGTTTGGCCACATGACACTATATTTTTGTGGATTCTAGTTATAATAAAGACATAAAGTGGCTCACCTATCAAAGTAAACAAGAAATAGTAGCTGTTAAGCCCTTATTTTTTGTGTCTTGTATTTTAGGAGTACATGGTTTGGCATATAACATTACATTCTTGTTATAACGTTTGAATTGGTGCATATAGGTGACTTAAATTTAAAGAGCCTGACTTAACTAGAGTTAAATCCTTGACATAAGCCTTGAGCTTTTGTGTCTTATATTTTAGGAGTACATGGTTTGGCCACATTAAGACTACATTCTTGTGGATTCTAAGTAGATAAGACATAGTATTTGTTAAGCCTTTATTTTTTGTGTCTTATAGGTACATGGTTTGGCTATATGACACTACATTCTTGTTCTAACGTTTGGATTGGTGCACATAGGTGGTTTAAATTTAAAGAGCCTGACTTTACTGGAGTTCAATCCTTGACATCGTCTAATACACCTATGGATTCTAGTTATATTTACTGGAGTTTTTAACCTATTGATGGAAGCATAAGCTGCTTTGTCCTATAACACAGTTATGGATTCTAGTTATAATAGAGACATAAAGTGGCTCACTTATCAAAGTAGACAAAGAGATAATAGCTGTTAAACCCTTATCTTTAATGTTTTATATTTTAGGAGTACATGGTTTGGCCATATGGCATTATATTTTTGTTGTCACGTTTGGATTGGTGCACATGAGTGGCTTAAATTTAAAGAGCTTGACATCTTTATTTCCTAATAACATATCTTCAAAATGAAAAGTTTTATATTTTATATTTTGTTTGTGCTTTATGTTTTACCAAATCAAATTTATTCATGTCTTATAAATTCACAATGTCTTAGCGGTTATAAATGTGTAAATCAAATTTGCAAAAAATCAAAGAAGTGTTTTCCAGGTAATTTCTTAATGTTGTTCTATTAATCTTGTTGTTAACTTAAATTAATCTTTCTTTGCTAACAGGTGATGCAATATTAACACTTATTAATGGGAATAAAAAGAAAATTCAAGATATAGCTATTGGAGATAAGGTTTACAGTTTTATATATTTATACTTTTTCTATGTGTATGAAAATTGACATTAGCTTTTTCTAACAGGTTGCAATTCAAACTAAAAATGGTGAAATAGACTTTTCTGATATATATGCTTTTGGCCATCAAGATCCCAATGCTTATGAAGACTTTATTCATATTAATATTGAAAATAATAAAAGTATTGAATTGTCCCCTTTACACTTTATTCCAATTGTATCCAAAAAAGGTAAAAGTGTTTAAAATAGAAATTTATTTCTATTCAATTCTTGTGTAGGTTCAATAATCTATAAATATGCAATTGACATTACCACAAATGATATATTGTTATCTTTAAATGAAAAATTAGGAAAAGTTTTAACTTATAATATAACAAGTAAGTAATTAAATTGGAATAAGTTTATTTTGATTTATTTGTAAATTTTAGGTATTTACATTATACAAAAGCATGGACTTTATAACCCATTTACATTATTTGGAGATTTAATTGTTAATGATATTATTGTATCACCACATAGTGATTGGTTTTTAGATAATATATTTAAGTTTTTCAAATTAAGCTCTTTATTACCTTATGTATATCAAATTATTTTATATCCTATTCGAGTTTTATATAAGACTCTAAATACTAAATCTTACCTACAGTTATATCATTTTCTTAATAGTAATGAAATAATAATTAACTATATTATTGGAGCTGGAATATTGTGGAAACTCATTTGGAAAACAAAAGTATTAAACTAAAAATATAAAACTATAAATATTAAAAGAATAATATTCTGTTCGTAATAAACAAAAATAATTTCTCTTTGTTTCTTAAATATAATGATTTTTCTGCTAGCTTTTTATGTATTGCATTGATTTTGTGCTTGATTTCCTTTTCTTTGCATTGATAGATGTAATGACAAGAACTAGCTGTAAAGAGCAAACATTGTCATCTTTCTAGTCTACCTGCGGCTCCTTTTTGCAAGCTGTGCCTTATCTGTGATGCTTTTGCCTTGAATCCTTTGGTAGTCGGCAGCTCGAAAAATGTGAACCTGTGTAGACAAAGCCACTGTAAGAAGTTTTCTCATTTCGCCTTCTATGAACTGACCTTGAGACGTGTAGGTTCCATGAGCTCGAAGACGAGAGCATCGCCGTCTTGCAGCTTGTGATCAATGGAGAAACCACGCCATCCGCCGCTAAGTCCGTTCTTGTACGCCAAATAAAAGGACTCGGACTCCTGCCCGTCGCTGTCTTCGAGGGTGATCATCGTGTCCTTCTTTGGCAAGTGTTTCTTCGCAAATGAGAGTGGTAAGCTCTGCAAGAAGATCTCTTTCTTGTTAATCTTTCGCTAGCATGCTCAAACAGGAGATTTACCAGCCAGAATCCTCCAGAGACGTGGGACTGGAGCATCGTCTTGACGGTGGAAGGACGATCTAAACTTTGCTGGATCTTTTCCGCGGCCTCAATCGCTGCCATTCTGTCCTCCTGTGAGCAAAAGCTGGTTGGAGATATTCGAGACGATCGCCCAGAACTGCGAGAAACGTCTTAGAAAATTTCTAGAGCTCGTGGGAGACATACCTTCTTCGAGGCAGACGGGGCTCGTCATCCTGTGATCCAAGAACAACAGATTATCTTGGAAAGGAAGACGAGAGATACTATTCTACCAGTTTGTAGTTTGGACGAGGATTCGATGAGACTCGAGAAGACCTCCGTACAAACAAGACGGATTTCTCAGCTGACCTTGAGCAACGTTTCCTCGCCTGGATCAATCGATGTGGGAAATGGCCTAGAAGCAGCGAGTTTTGTGAAGCTTACTTGGTTCTTGGAAGCCCTTTGTGTGGTCTGCTGGGCGATCTCCTTGCTGATCTCCGCTATACCCAGTTCCTGCAAGCAGCAGTGAAAGAGGATTTTCTTTTATGGCTTGGTCCATGGCCAAGCTAGGAAAGTGGCTTACCTTCAATCGCTTCTTGTTCTCCTCTACCCGTCGCCGTCGTTCCTCCTCATAAGACACCATAGCTAAACCCTCCACAAGCATATTTGTTGTACCGTTGTAAGTTTCAAATTTAATGGTTTAAACAAAAAATCAGAGAGATCCTCAGGTCAAAACTTTAGTTCTATTCTGTTTGTGACAGATGGGTTAAAAAATGCTTGATCTTGGCCACCATTTCCTCCTCCGCGCGGTCGCTGTGATGCCCTCTTTGCTGCTGCCTCATTGTGCTGATTGTCCTCCGCCGGTGCTGCTCCTCAGCTGGCTCTCCGGTGTCTCCCTCACATATGTTGTTGCCGGGGCCGTTTGTTATGCTGTAACAGCGCTCCTTTTGTTCGCTTCAATGCTGTACGGTTCGCTTCAACGCCACCTCCAGGTTGACAATTTATTGTAAACTGCGGGTCCAAAGATCTCTGTGGTATTTCAGTGTTTGAGTTGGTTTATTGTAAAGATAATACTTTTATTATTTACTTTACATGCTGGAAGTTTGATTGAAGGAGAAAAATATACAAAAGTAAAGATGAAAGCAGATTCAACAATATCATTAACAATTAAATGTCAATGGGCTATAAAGTCTATGTTTTTGTTGAAATTGATAGATTAAATATTTTCTTACCAGTTACATTATAGGATAAAACTTTTCCTGATTCTAAAAAAACTAATACATCATAGTAATATCAATAGCATATTTATAGATGATTTTATATAAAAATTAAATAAGAAATTTACATGTTTATGAAATTATAAAATGAAAATAACACTTTTATACTTTCAATGTTAATATAAATAAAATATCTATGATGTCTGAAATCATATATATCAGAATAATCTATTTGACCTTGTAGTATTTGAATTTCAAATTGCAACTACTATAAGAGATTAAGTTCTAATATACCCAAAAAAGTTAATAAACCTTATCTTTGATATTATTTTCTTTTTATTTCCTTTATTGCCATTATTGCATCACCTGTTTAAGAAGGTTGTTAAGTTCAAGCTTTTGTAAAATGTAAATACATACAATTCAAAGTTTAACACAAAAGAAGTATTAAAAAAGTCCATTTTTGCCTGTTATATTATAAGCAAAAATTTTCCCAGTAAAAATAGCAAAACATCATTTATAAAGTTCTAAATTAATATTTTTGAATTTTTTTTAAATTTTAGAATTAATTTATAAATAATATAGAATTTTAAGTCTGACCTCCACCCCTGTAGTCCCTTCCCCACCAACTAGATGCCCATCATCTTTCCTCTTGTGTCAAGTTGGCAATGTTGAATCATTGCTGCCTCTCAACAACAAAAAGGAGCACATATACTAGTGATAATTGGATTTTTCTTCAACAAGTTATGCCCAAACCATTCTTTGTCAAAACTGGTTCTTTCCTGGACAGCATAGCAACAACCCTTTAGATTTTTGACCCAGGAGCTGCTCAATATAATCCACATACCTCTCATCATGTGCTAGAGAGACAGCACCATTTGCATGATGGATCCACTGGCATCCAATTTTTGCTCAATTGAGCATCTGCTGCGAGGACAAGGATCCCTTATCCCAATATTCATTCTATTCTTCTTCCCACTATCCTGTACCATCTGACAATCAAGCACTCAAATTCACCTACATAATACAAAGGTGCATAGCATGCATTTATTCCCTGCAAACAGCTGCTCCATCTCAATGCCCTGGCCCAGGTTTATAGCAACTAGATTTACCACATTTTCATTTAGATGAGCTGTTAGGCCTCCCCCCTGCCCCCATTGAATGTGGTGTTGTATTTGTTTATAAACACTATAAAATGATTTTAAGCCAAAATCCCCACCATAAAATAATAATAATATTCTGTGAATATCTGCCAAATAAAAAATTCAATTGAAACTTTTACTTGTTTTACCTTATCATAAACATTAGGATCTTAATACCCAAAGTATATATATCATAGTAATGAGCTTCACTATTTTTAGTTTGAAGTACAACCTATTAGTGTACATAAGTACAACCTACTGGAAATATTAAATAGTATATAATTTATATAAGAGCATATAAAACTTGAACTTATTTGTTTTTTATCACCATTATACAGCTGTAATACTACATCACACGCTTAGAAAAAGTATTTAAATTTAAAACGAGATTTAGAAATTATTTGGGAAACAGCTTTTCATACCACTTTTCAAACTACAAAATTATGAATTTACAGTACATTTTGATATGGTTAATTTAAATTCTTTTGTCAAGTTTTCCCATGTGGTTTCCCTTTAACTCTAGAACTCCATATAATACTTTACATCTGAATATACAACAATGAGTCTTGGACTGTAGTAGCCATATAGCAATCAAAATGGCCAATCACATCCAGGCTGGATACATGCATCAGAATACACTATTACATTGGTGGTACAACGGTCCAGAATATAATGCCATCCAGATTGACTGCCACCTTCATGCCCACCCATACACTTTCAAGGATCATTAACCATGTGGCGGGAAGGTAGCTTAAAACATCTTTGGAGGATCGTGGAAAAGAAAGCTGGGGACAAGTGTGTGGACACGTGCTGTGCTTTTAGGGCAGTGCGCTATCATAGTGTTCTTTACCTGTTTAGGGCTTTTCGATCGATCGATCCAGGGTTTCAGTCGCAATGGCGGAGAATGGGCGCAACGACAGTGGAGATTATCATGCCAGTGATCAACCCCCTCCGCAAGAGCGAGATCGCACGTACTTCATCACTCTCCCGGTGCGAACGCTCACAGATTTTGTTCCAGAGGAGCACCTGAGCAAGCTATCCCTGTACCTGGGGATCTATGCCATCCTCTTCATCATCGCTGGCATAATAGGAATTCTTTTCCCTCTGGTGTTTGCTCTGGCGGTGGAGCAGCTCATTGCATGGCTGCTCATCCTGGGCGGCGTTTTCTCGATCGTCCAGTTCATCGCCGTGTGTGGAGCTCCAGGAACTACATCGTTTTTGCTGCTGGGGATTCTACACCTGGGAATTGGACTTTTGATGCTGATCAAGCCGATTGAAGGTGGCATGGCACTCGTCTACGTTCTCTCTGGATGGTTTCTAGTTCATGTAAGTGATCCAACTCGAGCTTTACTCTAGCCAAACTACATTTTTTTTTTCTTTGTTCTATCACAGGGACTGTTGAAATCGTTGATGGCTTGTCAAGTCCGAAACATGACATCGTGGCCCGCTGTTCTCGCCAGTGGGATTCTTTCGGTGATTCTGGCGTTTGCCATTTTGATTCTAGCTCCCAAGTTTGGGCTGGTTCTCCTGGGAGTGATCTTTGGCGCGGATCTTCTCGTCTCGGGGCTTTCCATGCTCTTCATCGCCACAATTGCCTTCTGTGGTATGCTTTGATTCGTTTTTTTCTTTTGGTTTTTGGTGATCGATCTAAAACATTTCTCCAGGCAGAAGATCTGTGCCTTCGGAACGAGCAAATCTTCTTCAAGCACAAGCTGATGAGTACGCGTGATGGAAGCCATCGATATATTCCTATTTTGCTACTGTTTCGGGTGTATTTACGTAGACGAAGATCTAGCATTCTTGTAAATGGAACAAGACTTTTACCTCTTGATTCTAGTTGTTTTTTTTCCGAGAATAAAATTGATTGGTTTTTGTTTCAATCCTTGGAGCAAACTATGGCAAAACTGCGAGAATGTCCGATGCACGGATCACAACATACTGGCTCCCGTCTTTGCTCTTAAACTCGTTTCCAGCATACTTGGAATACATGACCGAGTTCCCTGGAGCAATATCTAGCGGCTTTTTCACCCCATCCTCTCCGAAAGCTCCAGATCCAACGGCGACAGCCTAAACACACAAGCTCGCATCAATCCCCAGCTAGAAGATAAACGACAGTTTGGTACCGTGCCAGTGACGGGCTTCTCTTTGGCATTTTCGGTGAGGATGATACCTCCGGACGTCTTGTCCTCGGCCTCAGCTATCTGTAAAGAAGGAACAGAAAAAGGCTCTAGCGGTTTAAATACCAAAAGTTCTTCCATACCTTGATCAAGACTCTCTCGTTGAGTGGCTTCAAGTCTTTGATATCGTCGGTCGACAAGAAACCAATGAGGTCGTCCTCCTTGAGCAAGACGTGCTCGGCATCATCGAATTGGACCTCGGTTCCAGCGTACTTGGAGTAGACAACCATGTCACCAATCTGTGATCACAGTTACAAACCAGCAACACGAACGAAAACATTTTACCGAGACACAAGGATCGATTTTCTTGTCGGCAATGGTCTTGCCCGATCCGACTGCTACAACTTCTCCACCCTGAGGCTTGGTTTGTGATGTCACTGGCAGTAAAATTCCACCCGGTGTTGTTTCATTTGCTTTTTGGATCTTGACGAGCACTCGATCTCCAAGAGGTTTTAGAGTCTTGAACTGCAAAAACCCAAAGGTATTTTAAAAAAGAGGAAGTTTTGACAAAATTCTCTCACCTTTGATGGTGCTGTTGCAGTAACTCCTGCTCTAACTTGCACAGAACCACTCCTAATCCTCGTAGCTTGGGACGATGAAATTTTCACAGACAACGAACTTCCGGCTTCCATGCGAAGGCCTGTCCAGTTCCTCGAGACAAGCTGAAAAAATACGAAAAGAAAAACTCTAAGAACTAGCAAAGAAAGCGAACAAAATTTTGATTTCTAGCATAGTTTGTAGAATGTAGCTCAGTAAAATCAAGAAAAGCAGATCTATGAATGCTCCAGAAGCCAAAGAGCGATAAATCAATAAAAATGCTTACTTTTGTGGACGTGGAAGGCGCATTGAGCTGAATTGCGGAAGACCTCGCGGCGATCAACGACGAGGGCGCCATAGCTGCAGCCATTTCTCTCTAGACGCTTCTAAAACCCTGGGATGTTATCACCCTTGGATCCCCGCCAATCTAACGGCCAGAATATCCACCCTAAAATTCAAACCCGAGCGGGAAAACAGAGCTTGTTTAGGGCTCTTGCGCTGCCGCTCCTACGATGTTGGACATCATCACGTACGCTGCCGATCGCGCCTCCAGCTTCGCCACGGCATCGAATGCTTTCCTTCCAACGCGATCGTCCCCAAATTTGTGCGCGGCATCCATCAAACTCGTCCAAATCACCGCATCCGCCTCGAAGGGCAATCGCTCCACCAATTCCACGGCCTCGTCCAGGCGATTAGCTCGGCCCAGCAGGTCGATTACGCAGGTATAGTGCTTGATCGACGGAATCACTCGATTCTCTTGAATCATCGCGGCCAGGAGCGTCTTGCCCTCGTCCACAAGGCCAGCATGGCAGCAAGCGCTCAAGGCAAGCAAGAAGGTTACGGAATTTGGCCACAGCGTACGGTCGTGGCTGTGCTGCATCGCGTGAAACATGGACATTACTTGGGCCGTGTCGCCGTGGCGGCCGTACGCGTCCACGAGAGCATTCCACGTCACCAGGTCGCGGCAGTGGGGCGGAAGGGAATCGAACACGCGCTGGGCGTCGGCCGTACTGCCACACCGACCGTACACCCCAACGAGAGAGTTTGCCACCATGAGATTTCTCGCGAGGCCCGCGTTTGTTATTTCTAGCTCGAGAGCTCTTCCGCGCTCGAGAGCTCCCAGATTTCCACAGGACTTTAGAGCCGCCACAAAGATCGCGGGGCTCACAACTTTCTTCTCTCGCTGGATCGTCGAGAAGAGATGGAGCGCTTGCTCGTCCTCGCCATTGTCAGCACAGGCCTGGATGATCGAGCTCCAAGATACCGAATCTCGCCTATGGATGCTCCAAAACATCGTAAACGCGTCCTCGAGGCTGCCACACTTGGAGTACATGTCGATGAGAGCGTTGACGACGAAGATCTCTTTCTCGTGACCGTTTTCTCGAGCTTGCCGGTGTAGAGTTCGTCCGATCTCCAACGAACTCGTCTTCACCATCCTGCCCAAGATCATCGTCCCGGCCTCATTCTCCGCCAAAGACACACAGGCCTTGATCGCAGCGAGAACTGTGACGTAATTCGGCTGGCACTGATGATCGTCCATTTGCCGGAAGAACTCGAGAGCTACCTCGCCGTCACCGTTTAGAGCATACCCCATGATCGTCCCGGTCCAGGAGATGACACACTTCCTCGGCGTGGCGTCGAAAACTCTGCGTGAATCCTCCATGCTTCCACACTTCGCGTACATGTCGATCAAAGTGTTGGCCACCACCGAGTCCTCGGAAAGTCCCGCTGCTTCGGCTCGAGAGTGGAGACTCATCCCAGTTTCCAAGGCCTGGAGCTTGACAAGCTTGCCGTGGACGAGCGCGCCGGGATCTCTCTCCGCCATGCTCGAGCAGGCTTTCAACGCAGCGATGAAAGTTACTTGGTTTTGCGAGCAGCCGGCGCGACACATCTCTTCGAAGAGCTCCAAGCCCAGCTCTCCGCGATGGTTGTCAGCATAGCCGAGAATCATCGAGGTCCAGGAAACCACGCTGCGGTGTTGGATCCGATCGAAAACTCGTCGAGAATCACCCGCGCTGCCACACCTCGAGTAAACGTCCACCAAAAAGTTGGCGAGGAAGATGTGGAGTTCTTCTTGCCCGCTTGATCCAGCTCTAGCAGCTCGAGAGTGGATCCTCATCACTATCTCCAGAGTTTTCATCCTCACTGGCTGGCCATGGATGATCTGCGGGTCTTCTTCCCTGGCGAGAACCACGCAGGCCTTGAGAGCAGCGAGATCCGTGACGTGATTTGGAGCCAAGCTTTCCTCTCGCAGCATTCGATCGTAGAGCTGGAGCGCTCTCTCTGGCTGGTGATTCTCGGCGTAGCCAAGGATGAGGGAATTCCACGAGACAATGCTGTGTATCTCCATCCCGTGGAAGACAGTGCTCGCGTCGGCCATCCTCCCACACTTGGCGTACATGTCGATGAGAGAGCTCACCACGAAAGAATTCGCCATGAATCCACTCTCGCGAGCCGCGGCGTGGATCTCTCTACCCAGTTTCTCATTCCTGGATTTGCTGCATGCCTTGAGAGCCGCGAGGATGAGCGCCACGCTGGGCTTGGATCCAGCGTCTTGGAATCTCACAACTATCTCCCTGTTCTTGGATGAATTTCCTGTTCTTCCCACCCCGGCCATTCTTGGCGACGCATTCTAGCTCGCTGTCTAGTAGCTGGATTTCACGCAATACCTGGAATCCCGATCCATCTCCTCGATGGCCCTGGAATTCCAATCCATCTCCTAGGCCTCTTGCAAACTAGCAAATACCCTAGCGATGGAGGCCAAGGATGGGCGCTATGCCGCAATGCTGGAGAGATTGGCGGCACTGGACAGCGAGCGGGCGCGCCAGGCGGAGGCCCGGCGCCACGACGCAGCGGCATCCGCGAATCCACTGGAATCCACAGGTGCGTTCCAGGGCGCCTTCGACGAGCAGCGCAAGATCGTGGAGGAATCGCTCAGTCGCATCCGCCAGTCCGGCAGCGCATCCGGCAAGGCCGACATGGATGCCGTCGCGATCCAGCTCGCGGCCATGGACAAGATGGTGTCGGATGCGAGCTACTTCCTCCCGCCTTACGACGTCCAGAGCTCTCGATCGGTGGTGGACAGGCTCAAGCAATCGCTCGAGAGCGCCATCGCGGAGGTCATCCCCAAGAAGAAATTCTCCTTCCGGGCCAAGAACACTTCCTCGTCACCGAAAGAAACGGTAACGCCACCAGCGGTGAAAAACGAGGAAGAAGAAGATGAGACTCCATCGTTCATGCCTGATCGAGCTGCCAACCTCCACTCCATTCGCGACGCCAAGAACTCCACCATCGTCCACGACTCGGGTGAATCCAGCGAGACAGAGGTGACGCTCTCCAACTTGACGCACTGCACGGTGTTCTTGAGGGGGATCTTCCGCGCCATGTTCTTCCACAAGCTCAAGAACTGCCATGTCTACGTGAGCGCAGTCACGGGATCCATTCTTCTGGAGGAGATCGACAGCTGCATTTTCATGCTCGCGTCCCACCAGATTAGAATCCACTCCACCACCAACACGGATTTTTATCTCCGGGTCCGGAGTCGCCCGATCGTGGAGCATGTTAGTGGAGTCCGGTTTGCTCCCTACGCTTTCCACTACCAAGGGATTGAGGATCATCTCAAGGCAGCGAACTTGGCCGAGGAGACTGGATTGTGGGAGAAAGTGGACGACTTCCGGTGGCTTCGTGCGGCAGCTTCTCCCAACTGGAGCATTCTACGTCCGGATCAACGCGTTCCTCTCGTAGATGGCACCAACGTTTCTAGTCGGGAGTTTTGCAACAAATAAGTCTCAAGGTGGATTTCTTCTCCCACGAATTCATTGCGTTCTTTGCTTTGAAACCTTGACTGAATTGTTCTGTTTGGCAGGATATCTTGCGAAAGAAATGCCAACTGCATGCTACAGTTTTTTTTTTATATAAACGAGACAGTTTTGACTGTTGCCATGCCGGAGGTTTGAGGTAAACCTTTTGCTTTTGGTTTGCAATCACGAAAGGCTACACAGGTGAGTGTTTTTCGTAAATTTAGATCGAGAACAGTGTGTTGTCTTCTCTCTCTCTTTTTTTCATCACAGCTGCTATCTACATCGAGCACTCTGGGACGGTAAATTGGAAATCAATCTCTCTACTCTCCTGGGGAGTGATGGTTTTGTACAGGAGCCAATCTTCTAGAGATTGCTTGAGAGCGGCGAGCTTTACTTCTTGACTAATGCAGCAGATGGCGTGAATGGCGCAAATCTTCTCAAAGTCGGTGTTCATGTGGCAGTAGCCGCTCAAGTACTCGGTTGGGATGTACTTGAGCTTCAATCCAATGCTCGCAAAATCAGGCGTCTCTTTCATGGCCTCGAACACGTCCTGGTCGTTCTTGTCCGGGGAAGTTCCCTGCTGCTCGAACCACAGGTCGAAGAGCTTGATGGTCCGCTGGTTTGATCGAACATGGAGGATGCCCGTGTTGATGTGGTTTGCAATGTCGGACGAGTTTCCATTGAAATCGTGGTTGCAAGAGACGTCGAGGTCGGATTCTCGCGAGAAGTGCTGGAATGGAGCGCGAAACCAGAGTATATCAGCGTCCTGTGCACGTCAAGGAGAAAGGTGGTGGATCAAAGATCGAAGAATATCTCTCTCTTACTGTGTAGAGGAAGTTGTATCCAAGCTTGAGAACATCGCCCAGGAACTGGATCTTGAGCTTGTTGGTCTCGAGATAGTTTGGGGTGTTGTAATTGCTCTCCGTGGAGAGATCCAGCCCGGGGGTTTTCAGGCGGAAGCAATGAAGGCGCTTGGATTTGCACACGGCGGATGCCTCCCGGTCGAGCGTGGCAACGAGGAGGTGATCCAAGAGGTGGAGGATTCCTTCGCCGGTGTGGAAGCTGCGCAAAAACAAGTCGAACATTCCCCCCACGGCCCATGCTTTGTTGAGCTCGGTGATGAGGATGGTCTTGTTCTCCACGGATGCCGACATGAGGGTGGACTCGAGAGATGTCTGATTGTCGCCATCGTCATTGTCTTGCTTCCAGGAGAAGTTGCTAATGTGATCGTTTCCTTCCCACGCTGGCGATAGCAGTGGCGATGGTGTTACTGCTAGCATTGGAGATGGTGGTGCTGTTAATGGTGTTGCTGCTGGTGATGGTGTCACTCGATCCTGACGCTCACGATCAACGTTCTTGCCTGCTACTGCTGGGAAGTGAGTGTGATTCTTCTCACTGATGTCCGGGGCAAGTGAGAAGAAGTCGTCTTCTAGGTGAGCTTGTTGATCCAAATCACTACCGGTGTGTTGATCTCTTGGAAGTGCTGCTTTTCTTACCGAGCTCGCTGCTCTTGTGTTGGCTACAACCGGGAAGAGCACTGGGTGTCCTTGTTGGTTGCAAATGGCAAGCACAAGGACCACGAAGAATAGGCACACGATTGCAGCCGGCAACACCATCTCCAACAAAATGGTTAGTTAGATAACTACATTTTTAATAGAGGCTTTTGCCCTAAAAATATAGATTAAGTTTTAAAATATTGACTTTTAATTATTTGTTTTATTCAAAGTAATAAATTTTTATTATAGTCAAATTTATTTATATAATTTTGAGTATTCTTATGCTGTTCAAAGCACTCACAATGCCAAAATATTATTCTTTAATGAAATGTTTTATTTTATAGATAAATGTCCATAATATTCCCACTTCAATTATATGGTTAATCATTAATGTGTTCCTTGTAAAATATTTATACAAATAAAGATAAACTTTATAATTTAAATTCATGTATAAAACTTGAATAGGAAATAAGATAATATGATATACATAAGGTAATATGTAACTTAGCTTAAAAAAATTAAATAAATCATCTAAAAACCAATCACTATGAGGTGATACAATAATATCATTAACAATTAAATCCCCAAATAGTGTAAATGGGTTATAAAGTCCATGCTTTTTTAAAGTATAAAAACCTATAAAAGTAAAAATATTGAGTTAAAATACTTACTTATATTACTTACCAGTTATATTATAAGTTAGAACTTTTCCCAAAATTTCATCTAAAGATAGTAATAAATCATTTTTAGTAATATCATCAGCATACTTATAGATGATTGAGCCTAAAATTTAATTGAGTAATTTAAAATTTTATTTACATCACATTTACCTGTTTTTGATACTATTGGTATAAAATGAAAAGGGGATAATTCAATACTTTTATTATTTTCAATATCAATATGAATAAAATTCTCATAAGTATCATAATCTTGATGCCCAAAAGCATATATATCAGAATAATGTACTTCACCATTTTTAGTTCGAACTGCAACCTATAAAAGAACTTAAAATTTAATATTATATACAAAAAGATGAAAATGATTTTAAGTGAAAACCTTATCTCCTATAGAGATATTTCTCATTTGTTTTTTATTTCCATTATAAAGTTGTAATACTGCATCACCTGTTGAAAAATTACTTAAATTTAAGATAAAAATAAAAACTTACCTGGAAAGCATGTTCTTTTGCAAACATATTTCTTACATTTATAACCACTAGGACATTGTGAATTGAGATGATGGATGCAACAATTCAAAAACTAAGAAGAATATAATATTTTATATGTTGTTAAAGCCAAACTAACTATCAAGATGGTTAATTACATCTTGCTTGCTTCTATTTCTAATGCTTGGTATATGCTATACAACAAAGCAATAGTCAAACTTGTCCTTATAGGGCTTTGTGTTGCCAATTAGCAACTTCCTCAAAAACTCTCCCTTTACTTCATTGCTCTACACTTTTTGTTTGCTCTTTGAATTATTGCTCCAGTTACTAGCTCTGTATTTTAGATATTTCTAGTGTAGGCATCTATGGCCTGCGAGAGATCTCTGCACCTAGCACTCTAAAGCACTTCAGAACATCTATAAATCATAGGGAAATTTCTAGAAATGATCATTATACACCAAAAAGTCATTGCTTTTAAATTATTTTTAGTTGTTTACACCATATTTGGATGTATTAACCATTCAATCTCCTAAATGAGGTAATGTAAACTTCTCAATTTAGACTTTTTGGGAGGTCACCCAACTTAGTATTAAAACCCAAGGACATTTAACTTTAAATATCCCAAAATATTTAATCAATTGGAAAATGAGGTGCATTTTATTCATAGGGCTTTTCCCTTTATATTTGAATCTTTATAGATTGTATTTTAAGTTATTCTTTTTAGTTGCCTACAATTTATTATGCTTTTTTGCAAGTTCACACCCTCGGAATGGAAGTTGAAAACCACATCTTTTTTTAGAGCCCCACTCTCTTAACACCTTACTCTTTAGGTTGAGTCTAACAGAAGTAAATTGAATCTGCTAGATGTTAATTTTAATATATAGTATGATTCCCTTAACCAATTAACATAGTCGAACTTGAGACCACTCTAATACTAAATATAAATTTTTAAGTTTGGACTCATCTAACCCAAATACTATCCAAACCTAAGGACACTTAACCCTAAATATCCCAAAACTCTTAACTAATTGGAAAAAAGAGTGCATTATTGTTCATAAGTCTTTTCCCTTTGTATTTAAACCCTTATGGATTGTTTTCTTTAGTAGCTTACAACTAAAACTAAGTAAAATTTTTATTCTGGTATAAGTGATTAAATTTTTTATTTTACTTTAGTCATATCTTTGACATCTTGGAGGAGTCTCACTCACAACCTTTATAAGTTCTCATCCGCCTTAGGGTACTTACTTACCTCCATATATGATTTTAAGACAATACTGGCTTCACATTTAGTCCAAGTGCTCCATGTGTTCAATCTCAATTTAAACATCCAAAGGTATTACCAATATCTTAACATATTATGCTAAGGCTATATTTATTTGCCTTTGTCTCATTGGTAGTCCGAAACCACCCAATTCTCCAACCATATTAGTTAGATTCCCTCAAGTAATTTCCAAGGCCCCTTTTTTAGCCTTTCTCATATTTTTTGATTGTTGTATTGAGCAACTTAGGATCACTATTCTATCTTTGAGGTATTTTTTTGTTTCATAGCAAAGGCTCTATTTTGCTAAGTTCATGAGATTCACCCTTAGTAAATCTCACCAACATTTTCTGCTATAAGCACTATCTATAGCTTAATCTTATGACCCTCTTATAAATTTTTATTTGGAGACTACTTTATTAGACTCACAATACCATTATATTGTCACATATCATTTTATCTAGGTATTTTTCCCATTTGGTCCTTTTGACTAAGTTACATTATACCACTTGTTCAAATCACTATTTTGATCTAGGAACTTTGTTCCTTAACTCAACTAGGAACTTATCCTTGATTAGCTAAATATAAAATCATCTAGTGATCCCATATAAACATCTTAATAGGTTTATCAATAAATACTAGATTTACTTACCCTTTAAATTCACAACCCTAAGGGCATTGTTCACACTTAGTAGTGTACCCAAGTTAGCCTTTCTAGCCAAAGGTTCGAGATTGGGTATCCCTATCTCACTATGTCCTTGGTGCCACTTGCACTAGAGTGTTTAAGTTAGATATGTTGAACATGCACACTCAAGATACTAACCATGCATCACGACTTCGGGGCATCCCCCACTTGGTGGTGTGCCCAAGCCAACTTTTTTATTGAGAGTTCATAACCATTGAAATGTCTTCATATTCCAAACCATCACTACGCCTTAGTGGGTTGGGACTCAAACCCAAGCACTAGGACCTAAAAAAAAATGATTGGCGTCTTAGGATAAGGAGGAGTGCAGCATCCAATGCCATGGCTGCCATGATCAAAGGCATGGCCAGAAGGAGAAGAGTGCATAAGGGAGAGTGTGCAATCTCCCCGCACTTGCTACTGTTGGCAGAGGCATCTGCTGTGAGATTTAACGTTTGTTCTCTCAACCTTGAATGGTTTCCTACATTCCCCTGTGGTTGCACACATCCTCAACCATGTTGAAGTCTCCTAGGACCAGCCATTCATCCACTTGTCCTTGGGCCGACTGCAAGATGTTCGTCAAGAATTTGGCCTAGTTTTTCTTCCTCATCAATGCATAAAAATTGATTATCCCCACACGTCCAAAGTGAAGGTGTAGCACTAGCAATTGTGCTTTACCAAGAACCAGGATGACATGGTTCCCCACTTGAGCCGACCATCGTGTTGACACAATGAATGCTGTGCCACCTCTTAGCCTAATGACTACCTGAACTATCCACTAGAGCCTCCCTTGCATTCCCAGATTGAAGTCTAGGGCCTCCATCATTTTGTGCTCTTGTAGGCACAAAATGTCAATCTTCCCTTCCATTCCAAGCTCCCAGACATGGGATCTGAGTTGTACATGCTTGTTGATCTTGCTATCTATCAAGCTGAGTCCTCAACATTTCCATGTGATGAGTGATGACTATGAGTGTCATCATTCAAACACATACTTCCAGGAAAATATGGTGTTGCAAGGTCTAGCCCTCCATTCTATAGAAATTGTCCACACTACAATCATCTTCCCTTTATACTTTGCCTATTAAAATCCACACATGGTGTAATTTGTGAATCCTATCCATTCAATGATGGCACTCTTCATGTGTGTTTGATAGTCTCCAAGGGTGATAACGTCCAGGAAAATGATGTTCCTCA